GAAAATTAAGGTACATAACATTCAACCTTGACCTGAAGCTTATGCTCACTTAATATGATTCAGAAATGACGAATGGTTAAGATTATATGGGGTCATCAACGTTTTGAAGAAAGAGAAATGAGGGGGTCAGAAAAAACAATTTTTTTTTTCCCATGATGACGTCATCAAAATGTAAAAAGGAGTCAAATATATATGAAGGAGAATTGTCTCAGCTATAACATACTCAAAGTTGGAAGACGATCGACCAAGGATAAGCGAGATACGCTCAAATGCGTATTTTCAAAAATGACGTCATAGCTATAAGTCACTTTCTTTGAATTCAGATGCCAATATGATGATGTCACAATGTCTGATCAGCCATTATGATCTATAAAATCATATTTACAACTTACGTGCTTTCACAATATGTAATAAAAATTGGGGGTCACCTTTCAACCTAAAGAGCTATAACTGATTAAAAATAGGTCTGATTTTAGCATATTTTCACTGTATATCGGCACAAATCTACGCAAAGATACCTATATTTGATGCGCACGTACGGCATTACTATTGGCCAAAAGAAGACCGAAAAGAAAGGAAGTTTGTGAAAACAATGTCAGGAACCCAAACTATGTGAAAGAACATAGTGTCTAGCTTCCGTACGTGCTGCGCGCGTCAAAATGCGCGCGCGTAGTGGAAAATTAAAAAAAAAATTGAAATGCTCAAAATGACCTGAAACGTACTGTAATTTAGTTAAAAAGTGATTTCGAGCATTTTAAAATTTTGACGCACGCGTGCGCGCGCGTTATGAAGCGCACACGTAAAATTAGGGTACAGTACATTCAACAATAACTCGAAGATAATGCTCACTTAATACGATTTCGAAATGGCAATTGGTTAGGCTGATATGATCGATAATGTAAAAATGCAAAATTGCGTGTAGATGACGTCACGCATGACTGAGCGCGTTGAAAAGCTTACCATGACTATTCCAGACCAAGCCAAATGTTCGCTGACAGCGATTGTGCGTAACTCGTGGCAGTTTTTGAGATATCGTGCAAACAGAAAAGAAGAGAAAGAAAGAATAAAAAAAAGATGAAGATGATGATGATGATCCTGACAATAACAAGAGGTGATCTGCTAGTGTAGCAGATCACCAATAATCTAAATACCAAACTGTATCAAGATGAAGCTATAACCATGTTTAAAATAATGAATTCTCAAATGCCAACTTATTTAAAAAACAAATTTCAAGAGCAATAAAACATACATGACCAGTAGTCGGGTAGGAACGGGGGGAGGGGGGGGTGTGTTCCCATGCAACCCAGGATATATTTTTGTAACTAACATTTTTGTAATCCTCAAAATGTCTCATGAAAGAATTTTGATGTTCCCATTAAAAAAAAAATGTCCCATGGGATTGTTTGGTGGCCATTTTGGCAGCCATCTTGGATTTTCAACGAAAATCATTAATTTTCTTTTCTTTATCTTTTCTTTATTCAATATCAAAATCCCAGTCGAGGACTGAATTAAATGATGCTTACAATAATACAGAACAATAATATAAAAACATCAAAGGAAAGTAATATAAAATCATAGAAGGATTAATTATACATAAACAAGACGCAAACAGCACAGACATTCAGAAAAAGATTTAAAACATGAAAAATTGCATTATTTACAAATTATTATTAAATTTTTTAATTTTATCAATACAAATTCGCAATCAAGGCAGAATAAATTAAAATTTATAAAATTAAGGCAAGTAGGCAAATATAAAAACATCAAAACATCAATTAACCACGGGCACAAGACATAAATAAGGAGATAAAGAATAACATTCTTGGTAATAAGAAATGGGCATATTCTCTAGCCTTACTCTACAGTCCATGGCAATACTAGTGTGTATAGCGACCTGGACAAAGCCACGGTTTTCGTACATCATTATCGATCGCAACCGATTCAAATTCAACCAACCCAACCGCTTTAGCACGGAATTATTATATACTACGGAGCCGATATCGCTACGCAAGACGACATCCGACGCTACAGCCATTCCTCCGCAGAGAAAGTAGCACTCAATTTGCATAAGAATATACGACCAGTGAACGATAGCGTACCACGAAATTTGCATACGACAATCAAGTGAGCAATAAAGCAAGGCGTAATTAGCATATTAAATTATAATTAAATTAATAGGCTGAAAATGTATTACGGCGATCTTAAACCTGACAGTTACGATGAAAGATGGCAAAGATTTTCGTGACAAAAGGGGTGCCTCTTACAGCGAAGACTAAGAATCATTTTAGAAGGAGTTGTACGTTATGTTAGAGAAGGCTTCCATTTTTGTTCCGAGAAGTCTGCTAATGTCAATTTTAGAGAAACTGATCAACAAAAGAAATTTTTTTTTTCATCTAAAAAAAATCAGGAAGAAGAGGTGTTGTCTGTTAATAACCGTTTTGTTGGGGACATTAAAACACAAGCGTCAAAATACAGGTCATACAACTCATTGAAATGTTATTACACTAATGCTAATATGAATATAAGAGAGGAGAATTAAAAGCGATGGTTGATAATTCTGAGTTAATGATAATTGGATTGACTGAAACTTGGTGCAATGCAAGCGTATTAGATAGTGAAATAGCTCTGGATGGATATAGTGTTTTTAGAGATGATAGATCAGAAACACAAGGAGGACGAGTACTATTGTATGTACATGAATCTCTAAAAGCTACAACTAAATGTTTCAACATTTGAAAATTCTACCTGGTGTAAAATTAAGCTGAATGAGCAAGAATGTCTTTTGGTGGGACTAATTTATCGCAGTCCAAATAGTTCGGAAGAGAACAACACTAAACTGATCAATGACCTGCAGTTTATAGGTACCCTCAATTACAGTCATATTCTGATTCTTAGGAGACTTCAATTTTCCAGAAATACATTGGGAATATGGAACTGTAAATGCTGGTGACAACCACCCTGCATGTCTATTCTATGATACAATTCAAGACCAATTCCTAACGCAACATGTGAATTTCTGTACTCGTTTTAGAGATGGTCAAACTGCTTCGACTCTTGACCTAATATTGACTAATGATGATTATTCCGTGGACAATTTGTCGGAGATAGCGCCAATTTGGAAAAGTGACCATGTAGGAATAGTTTGGACGTATTTATGCAGAATGGAGATTGTAACAAGAGAGCATGAGAATGGTGGGAAACTAAACTACAGTAGAGGGAATTATGTTGCTATAAGAGATAGATTAGCTCAAGTGGATTGGCATGGTCTTCTTCAAAACAAAGATTGTGAGGATTCATGGAATACTTTTAAGAATATTTACAATTCAGCTGTACTTGGCAATGTACCATTTCAAAAGATGAAAAAGAAATTAAAGCCTCCTTGGTTGAGTGCACGAGTTAAAAAAGCAATAAAAATTAAATACAGCTTATATTGGAAGTACAAGAGAACAAACCTGGAACATCATAAAAAGGAATATAAGATTCAAAACAATAAAGTTAAAGCAATAGTGAGAGAAGCTCAAGCAACCTATGAAAAGCAGCTGATTGGCTCCTTCAAGCAGAAACCAAAGGCATTTTATAGTTACATAAGAAAAAGTCAAAAAGTTAAAGTTGGCGTTACCCATATTGAAAAGTCAGATGGGTCACTTACCATAAATGATCAAGAGTCTTGAAACCAGAGAAGGCTCCAGGACCTGATGATATCCATCCAAGGGTAATGAAAGAGTGTAGTGCGCAAATCTCTGTTCCACTTTCAATCATTTTTGAAAAATCTATTGGGTCTGGTAAATTACCAAAGGATTGGAAAACAGCTAGAATTGTTCCAGTTTTTAAGAAAGGATTAAGAACTACAGCAGGAAATTATAGACCTGTAAGTTTAACTAGTATACCTTGTAAGATAATGGAATCTCTTATAAAAGACAAGATGTGGGCTCACCTAAAAGAAAACAACCTTCTATCCTGGAATCAACGTGGCTTTATGACTGGAAAATCATGTCTCACAAACCTACTGGAGTCCTTTGAGATCATCACCAAAGAGCTTGATAGTGGGAATGATGTTGATATTCTATATTTAGATTATCAAAAAGCCTTTGATTCGGTGCCACATAAAAGATTGATCCTGATGTTGAGTGCTTATGGATTTGATGGTAAATTGATAAAGTGGTTGAAAAACTACTTATGTGATAGAACACAAACGGTATCTGTTAAGAAGTGAGTCATCAACACAAGCAAAAGTTGTTAGTGGAGTTCCCCAGGGGTCTGTCCTGGGACCCACATTATTTATCGTGTATGTGGATGACTTAACAGAATAAGTGAGGAATAAGCTTTTAATGTTTGCTGATGATACCAAGCTAATTGCTCCCATCAAGTCTAACAATGACTGCCTAACACTGCAATCAGATGTTGACCGATTGTTGGAGTGGTCGGATGACTGGTTACTAAAGTACAATACTGATAAATGCAAAATTATGCATATTGGAAGAAGTAACCCTGGGACAGCTTACATGATGAGAAATATTGCTATTCAATCAGCAGACATAGAAACTGACTTGGGTGTGACTGTCTCAAACGATGGTAAAACATCATTACAGTGTACGAAAGCAGCACAGAAAGCAACAAACAGTCTTCGTACCATTAAAAGGTCATTCGAATATATGGATATAGAGAGCTTTAAAATATTATATAAATTATATGTTAGACTCCACCTAGAATATTGTAATCAGGCTTGGAGCCCGGGCTTAAAAAATGACATAAGTATACTGGAAAAAGTTCAAAGAAGAGCTACAAAATTACTGCCATCTTTGAAAAATATGAGTTATAGTGAGAGATTAATCAAATTGAATCTGTATACCTTGGAACAATGGAGAGTTAGAGGAAATCTTATTGAAACTTTTAAAATTGTTATTAGTCCTTTGAAGACGTGGATTGTGGAACATTTTTTATCTTTGTCGAGGACTCTAGCAGGAGAGGACATGAATATAAATTATACAAACCAAAACTTAACAAATTTTTGAAATGCAGAATGGAATTCTTCTCACATCGCGTAATAAACATCTGGAATAGCTTACCACAAGAGGTTGTTGCTGCCACAAATGTAAACACCTTGAAGAACAGACTGGACAGCTGTGGGGTCTTAAAGGCATTTGCCTAACTTTTCCCACTTATATTAAGTATCAAGTAAGTAAGTAAGTAACATTAAAATTGGAAACATAAGCAGCACACAACAGGTTAAAAAAACTTAGGTAATAAAATCGATTATTTTAATTATTAATTATTGGATCATTAAAATTGTATCATTATTTTAGTTATTAATAACATCAAATATAAAAATTCAATCAGGCAAACAAAGCACACAAAAAAGATTTCAATTAATACATTAAAAAATTGGGAAGAAAAAACGCGACACAAAAAAGTTCCAAAATAAAAAAAAAAGGTTGTCATGCATTATTTCAAGGTTGCTATTGTAATATTATTGTCATGTACTGTAGAAGTCATTAACATAATTATCATTAATTAACCATCAATCATTGTAATTAAAAGTCAATATCATCAATAACAATCATAATTACTATTATTATCATTATCATAATAATAATGATAACAATAATAATACTACCATCATTATCATCATTACCAACATAACCGTAATTTTTATTATTCTGTAGTTCTAATAATTACAGTTATGCCAGAATCATTCATTTAGGATTGAAGTAAGAAATGGTATTGCACTCTTTCGATACCTTTCCACTCTACATTTCGGATGCTGATGGTTGTCGAGAATCTTCTCAATATCAGATAACAGCCAGTTCTTTATAAAGCTCTCCGCTGTCTTAGCAAGAACACAGATGAGTGAAATTGGTCAAAACTTGTCAACTGTAGTGCAACAATTCTCTTTAGGAACTGGAGTCACTATGGCATCTCTCCACATTATTGGAACACAACCCTCCTTAAGGTATAAGGGAGGTATTACAAATATTTGTCTTCGGCATACTAAGCTCACATGCAAAATCTCTAATCAGTTTGTTAGGTATATTATCAGGACCAGTGGATTTACTTGTTTGGACCTTTCTTAATTTACTTGTTTGGACCTTTCTTAATTCATTGTACATCTCCCACTCAGTTAGCAGGCAAAAAAGAAGGTAGTTTTACACAAATCAATACTGGGTATATTTTGGGAAGTCTTAGCAAAGTGGGCATTTACAAAATTACTGATACATGCAAAATTATTAGCCCACTCTCTGAGAGAGAGGGCTTATTTGATGATAATTTTGAAGTCATTTGTTTTTCTATCTCTTCCTTCGTTTGTGACGCGATTAGGCCAATCTTGCAATAATAAGGATGATAAGGCCTGGGGAATTTAAAGTATGAAGACTTTTTGCGAAAATATTGTTGGGAAATATGTGAAAAAGTATGTTTTTACATCATACCTCTTAACACTACAGTGGGTTTCCTATGAAAGCGAGTTCGTCATTGATCAGTTTGCAAATCGCCTGAACTGAACTGAACTTTATTGAACATACGCTTTTAGATCAGCGCAACACATCAGAATGATGGTGCGTTCACAAAGGAAACATACAAAATCAAGACAATTATAAAAAGAAAGTAAAACAAAGAAAAACAACGGGCAAAACAAAATATAAAAGTTCTAAACTGAGGAGAATAAAAAAGTAGTTTAATACAGTATTTTACTGGAATTTGGAAATACAACAGTTAGCTAAGACCTTCTCACTATTAATGCTAATATTAATGATATTAATATTATTATTGTTATTATTGTTAGTATTATTATTATTACTACGATCATTACTGTATAGTAATTTTTATTGCTGCGAAGCAGCCAATTCATATTCTTGACAGCAATTTGACCTCTGAAAGGTCATTGTTTGTCAAAAAACAAGGGCCTAAGATGACTGAAAAGTGGAGTTTCCTTCTTTCGTTCTGCTGAGTAAAATCAATTACTTTAGGCGACGTTTGTAGACTAACCTACACGTACCAACGTCCGCATGTGCTCGAGTATTACTATTCAGCGTTTTTACTATATTTCTAGGTTTCCTATTTCTACGTTTAATCGGCCCATGTCTCAGCCACAATATTTTGAGGTCAATATTATTTATGAACCCAGTTAAACTTTTTTACTAGCCTATTTCAGCGTGCTAATTATTACATTTAGGCGACGCTTGTTGTAGGCTGGCATACACGGTACCAACGCTTGTTTTTACTGTTTCTACGTCAGCTCGTCAGTGTTCTAATATAGACAATGGGTCGTGTCTCATATTATTTGTTATATTTTTATTATTCATTATTTTCACTTGACTCGCATAAATAATTTTGTTCGAAGAACATTTATATGCAGTTGTACTTCGCAGCACTTCACTTGCAATTTGCAATTTCTAGTTTCATTATTAATATTATGTTATAATTGTTCTTATGCTTTTTAACATGGACATAGTGTTCTCCCAACTGAAAAATTTTGACTGGTAAATTTGTCCATAAAAAATTGCAATGTGCACAATGTGAGGTATGTTACCCCTTTTTAGTTGGGTTAAATGACTTGAAGATACAACAACACATATTCATAGTGTAGATATAGACTGGAATGATGTTAATTTATTAAGAGGGCCAGCCTGGACTACCTAAGCCTAATCAATAGTTTTTTTTTTATTTTACAAACTCAAAATTTTTTCTGGTTGGTTGGTTACTTTTACCGGTAAAATTGACGGCTAAGACGGCTTCGGGAGAACACTGTGGACATATCATTTGTTACCGTCAACATTATTAATTTTATTCCAGGAACTAATGTTACTAATTAAAAATATTATTATTATTATTTATTTTTATTATTATTATTATTATTATTATTATTTTAATTTATTATTATCGTCATTATTATTTTTTTTTGTTGCAAATTCTTATTTATTAAATTGTTATTATAGGCCTTTAAAATTACTTTCTCTGTTAATATGAAATCAAATAAAGTAAACAAAAAACAATAAACAAATGTGAAAAAATAACAATAATAGTATTAGTAGAGTCATTTTCATGAGATCCGTGACTAATTTTAGGATACCTTTGTTTCTCGATGGATTTGGCAAGATGGACCAATTTAGATAAAATTTAGCTCCTATATACCTCCCAGATATTGGGGGAAAGTCCCGTTTGGGGGCGTTTTTCAAAATGGCCGCCTGTTGATTTGGACGCTTGTATCTCGATAACCACTGGTCAGAGAGACTTGATTTTGGTC